GTGAGGGGAGAGGAGTGTGGGTCGGCTTCAATCCTCACTCTGCTGTGTTTGCTTGAGCTGGGTCTGGATGGTCTGCAGGAGCTGAGAAGGAGACCTGCCAGCTCCCTGCTCCCCAGGGAAGCTTCTTAGATGCCAGGACACATTTTAAATGAGAGCACTAAAATGACTCAGAAGCTGCGTCGTTTGCATCATTCAATAAAGGCATAAAACCTCTCGTGTTCCTTGGAGGCAACGTGAGATGATCCCAGCCACCGAGGTGAGAACAGCAGTAGTGGGTGAAGCAAAGTCTGCAGCCAGAAGCAGGATCTGGCCACGCTTCTTCCTGCAAGATGAGGAGCCAGAGGAGATTCAGATGGGCAACCAGAGCCAGGGGGGGCATTGCAATGGCTGACCTGATTCCTCCTGCTTCCATAACATGAAAATCAAGGTGCTGCTTGGCAAAGCCTCTATGCAGGAGGATGCTGCCAGTGTCAGCAGATCAGCAGTTCTTTGCCTGGTTTTTTTCAGTGCTGTTAGAAACTGTCACAGCCTCCCCAGTATCATGGCTGGCCGCTGTGAGATGTGTTCTGTCCCCATGGGGATGTTCTCTTTGTTTAATGCTTTGCAAAACATGGACCATGCCTGCCTTGCCCCCTCTGCTTATCTAGATAGGGTTGTGGTGTGGTGCCAGCACCATCTGCCACATTATTGAGAGCAACGTGGGTCACCAGAGGCTGTTGGCAGAGAAGGGAGGGTGGCCAACATCCACAGGTCAGACCTGGACATCAACAACCCGAATCTCATGCAGGAGGGTGGAAAAGATGGGTGGAGGTGGAGGTCACCCAGCAGCTCCATCACCCAGGAGAGCTGATCTTTTTTCTTCTTACATCCTCTGCGAGCTCTGATTTCTCCTGTAACCAAGCTACCACTTCTCTTCAGGAGGTAGGAGATGAGAGGTTGGGTGGCTGCAGTGGCTACCTTTTGGACAGCATGTGGAGAGGGCTCTGAAACATGACCCTTGTTCATGTGTCCCAGCTGGGCAGGACAGCAACGCTCCAGCCCTAAGCAAGCTCCATGTGGGGCCAACGTCCCACCACCATCCCCAGGCTCCCACGCAGGGCTCTTCCCCAGACCCTCCAGCTTTCACAGATGTGGGAAGCTCAAGCTGCTACTGCTGCAGCAAGAGCAGAAAATTAGCCCAGAGTCTGCTGCACCCTGACCGGCTGGTCACGGCTCTAAACAAGACACAAGAGCATTGGGGCTACTTGGCTGTCATTAAAATGGTGTGGTTGGAAGGAAAAGTCTAATTGACTGAGCAACAGCTTGCACTGTGTAATTAAGCTAATTGTGGCTCTACCTGCATGGGTCAGAAGTGATTTGTGTGGCTGTTAAAGCACTGACAAATAAAAGGTGAGGAGGTGTGAAAGTATTTCTTACATGTGTTTCCACAGGTGATTTTTGCTGTTTCATTTCAGGCAATTTTAGGCTCTCAAAATTTTAGTTTCTGTCAAATTTGAGGAGACTTAATATTTCACACTAAAGCAGGGGAAAGCAAAAAGTTCGCTGTTGTTAGCAGTTTCAGGCAGCAGTGCTGCAAGTGGAGGTAATACTTTTTCAGGGTTATTTTCTTGTTTGAAGTGAAATTCCTCAAAAAAATAAGAGAAGAGACTGTTTTCCAGCATACATTTCAGCCTGGCTCTGCACCCGCTGGGGACCATGCAGTTGTTTTTATTGACTTGAGCAGCAGAAGACGGGGCCTTCTGCATGACTTGGTGAAACTCAGGTCACTACTTTACTGCCAGGGATTTATGACCCTGACTTTTAGTGATTGTTTCAAAAGTCTGGGCTTCAGATAGGATATATTTAGAAGAAGCCAAATAAGAAACCTGCAATAGTCTCGTGTTTAAATTCTTTGACCTTGTTTTCAAGTCCGTCTGAAGCAGAGCCCACCTCCATCTTGTAGCTCTGCCCTTATCGATTATCCTTCTGAGTCCTTCAGGCGTTTTGCTGTGCTCAAAGCACTGTGTGCTTTTTGGGACAAATAATGTGACATGACAGAGAGCTGCTGAACTGACTCTGCTCTCTCCAGGCTGTCAGCACAGGGCAGAGCCCTGCGCTCATGCTGGAGGAGACTCATGTGGACAAGTGGAGGGGCTGGTGCATTTTGTCCCAGTAAGACCACTTGCCCAGCATCAGAGCTAATATCTAAACACAGGAGTCAAAATCTTAGTCTGGAGCAACTGATGCCTGTATTTTTCCTGGTCAGAGCTCCATGTCCGGAGAAGAACGCGGCACAGCGAGGCTGTGGGACATGCGTGAGCCCTTCTGCCCTAACCATCCGTCACTGTAGGAGACAAGACAGTAGGTGGGATGAACCTTCAGTGCCTCATCCTGACTGTTTTTCTATTTCTTTACTGTGGAGAAACCTCTATGAATCTAGTTTGTTCTTTCTGAGCTGGGGATGAAGGACTTCTCACGTAAGAAGAAACTGCCAGTATGGTCTGCTGCTTCTCTATCATCCCACCCCAAGTGAGGTGTGATTGTCTAGCTGCAGATCGCTCCAGAACTGTGGTAGCAAGACCAGGGGAAAGAGCATGATGTATATACACATACTTTTTTTTAAGATAGCAGCTTACCTACTGTTTTTTTGTATCAGAAAAAAAAGTGAATCAAAATGGCTTCTGCTGAGCCTAATTTGTTATGTCTCCAGGCATAGCTAATTATCCTGACTTAGCCCAGCTCTGAATTCTTCCCAGGGGTTTCCATGCTATTTCTTCTGTTTTGATTTATAAATTGTCTTTATTTTACTTTCCTCCTATACGTTCTGTATAATCTTTTTTCTCCGCACCTTACCAAGAAACCAGGAGCTGGTGCGACAATGCTAGCACAAGGTGTTGGACAGAAGGGGAATCTGTTAACCAAAGCCTTTCCTTTTGGTGTCCAGCAATGCTTTCTTCTGGCATACCAGAATGAATTAATTATTTTTACAGTTATTTTTGCGTTCAGCCATGCTCTTCACAGCTGACACAATTTTTCTAACCTCAGTGACAAATTCTGGGGGGGAAGGAAATCCATCTGCTGTAATCATGGTATGTCAATTGTAGCAAGCAGGAGCCAATACTGCCATTCAGCCCGGGTTTGGGAGAACATCTCTGTTTAAGACTCTTTAGAAATGCTAGTTAATGAGTCCTCTAATCACCCCATGGGGCAAATGGGTACTGTTTGCTTAGGAGACAAGCCTGCCAATAGTAAGCAGCTTAGGCAAGCCCAGCTTTAACTGCTAGAGCATGACATGGCTTCATAGTATTGCTTTGTTTTCTGACAGACCCATTCAGGTTTTTGCATTTGGTTGGTGTTTGATTTTTTCTGCATGCATCTGGGAATGTTTTTGTCAATGGAGTTCTCTGAGAAATTGTAGGACTGGTCACACTTTCAGCTTTCATTTGGCTCTGTGTAAAATGGGCTAAGAATTGGGTGAGAGCCAATGTCATGCCAGTCCCAGACCCCATCTTCTGCTCTGCCTGAGGGCAGATGCTGAGGAGAGAAGATAAAACCAGGAAAAGCAGGGAGTGATACATCCTTGGAAGAGACCCTCAACCTCCAATAACTTCCACCTCATGGATTTCCTGAACCACAGTGTTAGCTCTGGGCAGTTTTCCATTCTGTTATTTTTCCTCTTAATTTCCTTTCTGAAGTCATGTAAACTTTTGTATCTAGTATGTTCTGGGGTGGGGAGTCTCACTGCATATCTGTGCGTTTTGTGGAGAATCAGTTTTTGGTCTTTTTGAACCTACCAACTGCTGTCTTGATTTAAGTCCCCCGAGTTCTTGTGTCAGAAATGGTCAATACTCATATTCTATGACACTGATACATTTATGGGCCAGTGTCAGTCACCTCTTCCACAGGAGAATGGATCCTAGTTCATTTACCCTTTCCTCACATGGAAGATGTTCCACTCTTTTGAGCATCCTTTTGACTCTCCTTCATGTCTTTTTTTCTGACTTTGCAATACCTTCTGCAGGAGAACTGCACTTAGCTTTCAAGACATAAGTGCTACACTGGTTTAGACACTGGTGGAATAACGTAGCCTAAATTCAATGGAAATATTAATTATTTTTTTAGCTAGATTCATCCAATTATCCGTCAGCACTTTGGAGTACTGACTTTGTGGGGTTTCAGTGGTTCGCAGGCTGGCTACAGTCACTAGTGAGCCTCACCTGAACACACCTGGTGATTGTAATACCACATGCGACATGGTGCCGAGCAGATCGGAGATTTCCCTGCCAGTCATGGCAGATGCACGTCTCTGCTCACGGCCACGCTGCTGCCAGGACAGGGGATTAGGACACAATGTGGGGCATGTCCGTAGCAGAAGCACCGTTGCAAAACTTAAGCTGTCAGAGCCACGAGTGGCTGTCTGGGTCACACGATCTCTCAGATGTCTTTGTGGCTGCTGCACTTGGTTTTGGGCCCCATACTTGAGGGATGTAGCACATCCATCATGCCCTTTGCCATTGCTCAGACATGCTAGATGTATTTCTCTACCCAGACTGCTTCGTGGTGGGTCACCCACAGGCTGTCATTTCCCCACATCCACACTGGTCCTGGAGCTTTTATTACAGAGGAGATGTTGAGATGATGAAATGAGATGAGAGTCGAGAGGTTTGCTATGTGCTGGTAATAATCAGGTCTGAGCTTCTTGTTAGTGGTCTGCCTGACCATGGCTCCTCAGAAGGGCTGCTGTGGAGCAAAGCAAAATTATCCTCCTTTTTCTCTCTGGGGAAAGCGAGAGGCATGGAAATGCTGCCCTAATGTGCACGAGCCTATCCAGTGAGCCACCCTCAGCCTCAACAAGGCTCTCCCCTAAATCTCCTGCATTAACATAGGATAACTTCTTTCTCTACTTTCTCATCAGGATCTTTGCCCAGTGCTTCCCATTTCACCTGTGCTTGACCAGGGTGAAAGCTGCCCTTTCTATTCCTCCAGTCCCTGAGCAAGAGGAGCCATAAATCTGAGTCACGATGGGCAAGATGGACAACACCTCCGTGGAGCTCAGCTCTCCCTCTGAGGTAAAGCAAGCAGCCCTGGAGGAATCGGAATCCATCACCCCTGACGCCCAGAACACCAAGAAGAAGAAGAAGGAGATCCCAGACAGAGGCTCCTGGAAGGGGAAATTTGACTTCTTACTGTCCTGCGTGGGCTATGCTATCGGGCTGGGCAACGTCTGGCGTTTCCCGTATCTCTGTGGCAAGAATGGAGGAGGTGAGAGAAATGCATGGCAGCTGCACTCATCCCTGAGAACCTTTGGACCTGAACGGGCTTCGGTTTGGTGTGGGTCTGGGCAAGCACTGGTGGGGACCAGCTGAGAGCACTCACTCACCATGTGAGTCATTAATGTGTCAGGAGAGGAACTCCCACAGTCTGTGGGGTTTGCAAGCAAGTGCAGGTTGGGAAGAAGCAGCCCAAAGAAATCTAACAAGAAGCTTTGAATTTTGTCAAGCTTCTGCAGTCCAAATTTGCTACAACAAAGTGTCTGGGGATCTCATTTATTTATAAGGAGGGCTATGCACATAGGCACCCAGCTGGATGCTAGGACATTCCCAGAGAAAGCAGTTTATTTCTGCTAATGGCGGTTTTCTGCTCAGTCTAGTCTATTTGTAACAGGTAACAGTTTTGCGTCTAATTTTGAGTCATATGTCTGAGGAGTTTTTATTAGAAGCTTTGCATGGACCATGGCAAACACATATACATGTATGCATAGGTATGTACATGTACACAGACACACAAAAGTGTTATCATCTATGGAAGGAAATGAGCTTTGACTTACTACAGTGTTGTGAGAAGGGTCATCTCCATCCTAATGTTTGAAAAACAGAAGCTATGAGACAATAATTAGGGGACTAGAGGATAAGTCTTATGAAGAGAGCCTTAGGGAGCTGGGGCTGTTCAGACTGGAGAAGAGGAGGCTGAGGGGAGACCTTATTGATCTCTACAACTACCTGAAAGGAAGCTGTAGTGAGACGGGTGTTGCCCTCTTCTCCCTAGTGAACGGTGGTAGGACAAAAGGGAATGAGTTCAAGTTGCACCAGGTGAAGTTTAGATTGAATGTTAGGAAAAGTTCTTCACCAAAAGGGTGGTGAAGCATTGGAATGGGTTGCCAAGGAAGTGGTGGAGTCACCATCCCTGGATGTGTTAAAAAACAGCTGCATGTGGCACTTCAGGAGATGGTTTAGTGTTACGGTGGTGTAGGGCTGTAGGTTGGACTTGATGATCTTAAAGGTCATTTCCAACCTTTATGATTCTATAAGGCAGCAGCTAGCAAAGGACTTAGAGTAACTGTGATGTATCTGTCAGCAGTGCCCTCCTCTGCAGATGGCCAACACAATTTTTTAAAAATTCTATTTATTGTTATGCCATTATATCCTTTTCTTACCAGTCTTCAGCTGAAATTTTGTCTCCCCATCTGCCTGCCTTTCTCTAGCTTTGCAATAGTTTGGCAGTGCTGGGGCACAAATCAGGAGATCTGGGAAATCAGCTCCCTGCCCAGCTACAGGCTTTCTGGATCCAGTCAGGATATACACTCTTGTGCCTCAGCTCCCCTTTAAAATGGTGGTCTTTCTTCAGCCTTGATGAGGAGATGCTTTTGTGGTGGGGAATATGGGTTGATGCTTTGACATTGGTAGAGCAGAGGCTCCTTCTTCTTCCCCACATGCCCAGCTCTCATATTTTTGGTGCCTGTTACTAAAATAACATTCCCACCCTCTTTGAAGAGCTGCTCACCTCCTCAAACCATTCTTAAGACTTCCCACACAAGTCCAAACCCCTTCACCTCACCTTTAAAGCTGTATGTACATTTCTAGTAGCCCCTGCTAGTCCTTCCATGTTGCTATTTGCCTCCCTCTTAGCTCTTCACTGCCCAGAGTTCCTGTCCCCGTTGCCACATTCATTTATGCCACGCCGAGTGTCTCTTCTCAGGCTTCTTCTCCACATCTTTTTTCTTTTCCTTTTGTCTTGAATTCCCTCTTCAAAACCTGCTTTGTCTTTGGCTCTCATGACTTCTCCTCATATCACCAGCCCACTTCTGCTGTCCATGCTGTAGGTGGTGTAGGATACTCTTCTCCTTCCACCCTGGGAAGGAGAACAGGGGTCTGGTTCCCCACAGCAGTCTGTCCAGGTAGCTGCACAGTGTTTAGGGACATCTTGGTCCTTTCTCTGAAGCTCATGGAGTGAGCCTCAGTGGGAGAGTGGACAGTTATTCATTTTGACAAGATTTCAAATTCGGTATGTCATTTTGTTCAGAGGCAAGAACGTGTGGCTAAGCCAGGCAAAGTCTATGGGAAACAGACAAGTCTACCTAGGGAAGTCAGCCACAGCCTCCAGAGCCATGGTGTGCCATGGTGTGCCATTTTTATGTAGCCACATACTAGCCTGAGTGTGCGAGCCCTTCTCATACAACAGTAGGCCTGTGGCTAAGTCCCAGCACTGGTTTTTAGCCCAGTCTCTGCCATGCGATTGCTGCGCCGTCTCAAAGACACTGGATCCATCCACACTGCCCGTGACTCTGTCTCCTCACACATAAAGGTGGGGATGACGAGATCTATAATTAGATGAGGGATGTTTTGAAACTAAAATCAATCCTATTTATAACATCAGCTGAGATCCTAGGACAGAGGATGCTGTGGAGGTGTGGAGCACTATTATTAGCATTAGCAATAGCACACAGGGTGATCTCTGCCCTGGCAGCCACCGGCAGGCAGAGGGATCAGCCGGCTGCGAGCAAAACCACTGGACGGATGAAAGGTGGGAATTGGTGCCTGCATCCTCTCAAAAAACCTGCCTCGCCTGCTGCTTCGTGGCATTCGGGGCAGCCTTTATGGCTCATTCCTCTCACCCCTACCTGATCTGGCTGTTCACAGGCACAACGGTTCCCACAGCCAGCAATAATGAGCAGCAAGTGGAGGCTGCTGCTACCGGAGACAGGCAGGAGAGCTGACGCACGAAAGCGTCACCGGGAGCTGATGCGAAGTGGCGAGGAAGTGTCGCCACAGCATCTGATTCACAATCGGGTGGGCACCGTCTTGGCTCTGCCCCGACGGAGGTGCCTCCGGAGCAGAGCAGACTGTGGGTGGGACTCTAATTTTAGCGTCGTGCATGTGCGCTGCTCAGAGCGCGGTCGTGTGGGCTGCTTCCATTACGCACAGGCAAATTGAACTGAATGGAAATATTGTCATCTCACTTACTGCTGTCACATTGTATCAGCTCATGGCTGATTTGCTCAGCATTGTAATCGGGCACGTAATTAGGGGATATTCAGCCAGGGTACGGCAGCCCAGCACAAGTCCCATCTGCTGCGGGGAGCAGGCTTTACCCAAAGTGATGCCTCGGCTCCCTGCTGGCTCTGCATGCAGCCAAATGTGCCCAGCTATGACTAATGCTCCAGCCCCTACACTGATTTCTAACCTCATGCAGTCCTTCTGATGTCAACAGGATTTTACCTGGCTCTAAATTGACTCCAAACACAGCTCAGTAGGTGCTAAAAATTGTCTGTGAGATCCTGAGCTTGAAAAACTTGAGAGAAGAATGTTTCTTTAAATAAGCATCATGCATTTCTCATTTACACGTCGAGACTCCAAGCAACGGCATGTAACAGCTTGTAATGCTCAACTTTTGATCTGTGGGCAGTGTTCGCCGTTTTAAGGATTAATTATTATTCCTTGCTGTACGGCATTAAGAGCTGGAGAGAGCAGGCAGATTTGGGGCTGCACAGCGAGTGCCAGGTGCTCTGTGATCTTTCCCTGCCTCTAAGGGCTGATGCTAGGAGCAGGCGGGGCAGGACCAGCACCATCATCCTTTGGAACCATGGACTTTGGAGACAAGTTTGGACTCTCCCAAGGTCATACACAATCATTTGTAGCAGGCTCAGGAACTGAACCAGACCTTTCAGCAGCCCATCTGGGAACACAGATTAAAGACCATCCTTTTCTCTCTCTGCTGAGGATTTAGGCACGGACATGCAGAAGGACAGATTTAGGTGCAGATTTCAGAACTGATTTTCCCTCTGGATGTACAGCACTCAGGGACATTATCCATGCCTGCCTGGGGACCTGACCCTCCAGAGTGACAGTGTCATTGCCAACAGCCCTCAGTTCAAGACTGCAGTCCGTTTGGTAGATTTCACCCTCTTCTAGAGGACTTTTGTCAAGCTAGGATAAACGGCTCAGGTTCCAAACATGTCCATTTTTTCTCAACAGTCTAATAAAATCTTTTACCTGCAAACCTTCCTGGCCTGCTGTAGATGAAAAATGCAGGATCGTCAGGGCCACAGCCAAATTCCATTAGCTGCTTGCGCAGAAGCAAGCAAGGCACAGTGACTGCTGATAAGCTCTGTTTCCAAACTGCATTGAGGCACACCCATGGCCCCGGAGTTGATCCCGGCTTCCCACATTGCTCCGAGGGTGCTGTACCTTGCAGGCTGCATTGGCTAGCGAGAGCGCAGGGGAGGATGTTGAGCGCGCAGCGATGCTCAAATCTGTTCATTCCTCCACACCAGGCTGCTGGTGAAGCCAAGAGCCTGTGCTTCCATGCCAGATTGCGATTCAGGCTCATGGTCATCGAGCTGCTGGCCAGGAGCGTGTTTTCTCCCCACCACCCGCTGCCAGATCCTCTTGCTCGCCGCCTCCCACAGGCTGCCCTGCCGGGTGCTGGCTCCTGCCTCTCCCAGCTGGACTCAGCTCCCTGCTTGGCAGGCAGTCATCCCCAGCTGGGTGTCCCCTGAGCCAGCATCCCTGGCTGTGCCTTGCTGCTTCCCTGCTCTGGGAGAGCAGCTGCTGGGGCCTGGCTCTGCCAGGTGCAAGCTGGGCTGCAGCTCGCTGGCTCCGTGTTTGCTCTCCCACTAATATCTGGAGAAGACAACTCAGACTGACAGTTCAGCCCTCTGGCTAGGGCAGAAACCAGTGTTGTCCTGGACATGGCCAGCTGCTTCTGAGTGAGTGTCCCCTCTCTCTCCCCAGCCAGCATCTTCTGCAAGAGTTTGTCCTTATCAGGAATGATGGCATGCTCCAGCATGTGCATGAGGAAGCTGGAAAATAAGCTTTGTCCCAAGTCCTAGAAGTCAGGATGACCTGAACACGTACAGCCTTCAAATCACACAGCAAGACTCTCCTATTCTATTTGCTCTCCTAATAGCAGAGTACAAGTAATATCCCTAGTGAATAACTGCATAACCTCATTTCCAGTGACAAGATGATTTTCATAGGGTCCATAGAGAAGAATAATATGTTCACCAAGAATTTTAAGAGTAAAACCTAGAACAAGGGTGGGGACATGTATAGAGCTGTTACAAGAGCAAATAGAGTCTTAGCCACAGTTTCCTTAAAAGACTGAAACTGCTGTAAACAAAGAAAGTAGTGGTCAATATCAGATATTCCTTTACCTCAAGGTAAGAACTGGGAGCTGCTGCAGGTAAGACAAAAAACATCAGCAAGATCAAGTTACCATTGGCAGTGTCCAAGCTTTCGGGTTTCTTGTCAGATTGGGCTTAGCATTGCCTAAATATCTAAGAGTGGCATCACATAGCTATTGATGCCAGTATACATGTATATAGAATACACATATAGCCATAGCAATAGGAACAGATAAGCGGAAGGCAGTGATGATCTCAGTGGAAGACTCAGAGAATACACCAACTCCAGCTGCAAACTGCTGCCTCCAAGCAAGTCTGTTCCTCATCATATGGGTGCTGCGGAGCCAAAAACCGCAGCTGGAAGCATTTACTTCTTGGTAAGAGGAGAGCTGTCTGATAATATTCCTCATTCTTTCAGGGGCCTTCCTCATCCCCTATTTCCTGACACTGGTGTTTGCTGGGATTCCCCTCTTCCTGCTGGAAACTGCTCTGGGCCAGTATACCTCTATTGGTGGACTGGGAGTCTGGAAACTAGCACCCATGTTTAAAGGTACTGTACCATAAGTTTGTGAAGGTGATGGCACATAACTATAGAGAAAAAACCTTCAGTGGTTTGGGAAGCAAGTCAGCAAATCCCCGTGGACTGGAATGGAGTGGCAGGGGAGGAGAGATTTTTCCCTCTGTCTTCATCAAGCTGCCCTTGACCCTGAAGTCTGCAGTCACTAAGATCACTGTGCTCCGTTCAAGCAGTCTTGTATGGTGGCAAGGCACTTCATGAGCATCAGGGACTGTGACGAAGGGGTTGCAGAAGGCCTGCCCCAAACCTCCCCATGTGAGCTCCGTTTAACTGCATGGGAAAGCTGTAGAAAGGGGTTGTGAACTTGTTGCCATGTCTGGAGCAGCAGCATTCTGTAAAACGGTGGTGATTTAAAATGCCTCGGATGCGGGAAAGAGCAAATTGGTAGGGGAAGTGACCAGATCCTATTTTCACGGAGCTCTGTCCCCAAAGTACCTGTAGCATATTGAAAGAGGTAGCACTGTTCACCCCATGGAAATGGGTGGGTGAGAGATGTGAGGAAACAAGCCTCCCCCACTGACCAGTTCAGTGTAGCTGCATCAAGTGCAGCACTGATGAGCCGGTTCACTTTTCCCGGCTCTGCTACAAAACTTGTGATGTACATGAGTGCAATGGGGCACCAGACACCTGGACTGACACTGCTCTCTGCCTTTGTTCACAGGAGTGGGGCTGGCAGCTGTGGTTCTCTCCTTCTGGCTCAATATCTACTACATTGTCATCATCGCCTGGGCTCTCTACTATCTTTTCAACTCTTTCACCACGGTGAGTCACAGGCATGTCAGCAGCATGGTATTGTCTGCACTGTGGGTCCTTACTCACCACTTTATGGGGAGGAGTTATTTATGCCACAAAGCACACACTCGCTGCTTGTAGTTTGTGCCCCCAAGAGCACCCTGCTGAGCCCTTTCCAAAGAAGCTCGTCAGCTCTGGAGGCAGTCATGTAGTGCTGATGGATACTGATGCTTGTCCTCTGGAGATGCTGGTCCTCTGGAGGAGATGGTCCCATCCCCTCTTTGGGAACTGTTGCCAGTTACATCAGTCTTTAAAACCTACCCTGTGTCTCTCCTATTTCTAGAGCTGTGTGAATCTAAGAGCTGCACATTTCCATAACCGGCTTTGTCACAACATGTTCTCATTACCCAGGACTTGGTCCTGACCTTAATTAGTCCTCATTTATGCTTCTCTTGATAAATGAAATCCTGGGGATTTTTTTCTGCTGGGAAAATGATTCAGAAAGCATTTAGACATCTGCTTATGACTGTCCCTTAGAAGGTACTTTGACACTGTGGTTTATAGTGGGCTCCTTTTCTACAGTAGAGTCTTCTACCATACAAGGTCAGAATCATGCCCCACATAACTTCTTGGTAGCTGAATGATTTATGTTAGCTCAGCAGCTGGGAAGAGCTCTTTTACCTCTCTGAGCAACCTGCAGCCTTAAAGGCATCAATTCCATGGTTCAAATGTGCTATTTTTTTTTCATTTAGGTGTAACCCTGAAATGCTGTTATGAACGTTGTGTATCAGTTTCACTTTTTGTTTGATCAAAATTTTCAAGTATCTATCAAGGCTTTAGCTAAAATATTCTGTTTGGCATTCCCAGCTGTGTTTCTACTACCAACACCTACTGTAGACTCACGGGTCCAGAACAAACCTGTCAGTCATGGATGATTAGGTGCACCCTCAGGGGGTTCCTGAAGGAACAAAAGGCTACCCCAAAGGAACCCATCCCCATTCTGTCTTGGGTAGAATGCATCTTAGGATGAGGCTCTGGTACAGTCAAGTGTCACAGACACAACTGGTGACAGTGCTCCTATCTGCACAAGCAATTCCAGGTGTTTGGCTCAAGACCCTTTTTTTTTTTTTCAAGAGATTAATTCCAGATTCCTCAAAGGACTCAAGGTACAAATGAAAAAAGCTAGGCTGATTCCTGTCCGCTCCTCCTCCTAAATTTTACTAGGAGTATTTTGAGGCTAGCTTGCCTTCTGCAGTGTCTGTCCTCTGAAATTCAGAGGAATTGGAGCAGCAACAAACCGTCCCCCTGTATGCCCCTCCTTAAAAGAGCGGCACAGCGTCTGTGATGTGCAAACCACTTGGTTGAAGGGCTGCTGTGTAGTGCTGCTTGAGGCATTGCATTTGCTCCAGTGCAATTAACAAGACCCCAACAAAATCACTGTGTGGGCTCAAACAGCCCGGGTGGCCACTGGGGTGTCCCCCCTGCCCCTCCCATAGCCCTTCCATAGTCAAGCCAGTGTGTGACTTAGGTATCATCTGCTGGAGTGAACCGATTTAGATGTGGGGGTGAAGGCAGCACTTCAAAGGCACTGATGCCACAAAGCACTTAAAACACGATATTTCTGATGGGTCTGTATAGGAATGGATACAAACAGCTTCTTAAAGCTCTGCTGAGCTGGAGCCTGAGGTCTTATCTGCAGAGGGAAATCACCCAAAATATCCATTCTGCATTTATCTCCATGCACTGCAGTCGGGAAATGAGATTGCCACGTACGGAGACATATCTGAGCTGCTCTTGTGGGGCTGCCTTGGCTGTGGCACTGCACGGCGTGGGCGAGCTGCCCTGCCTGCTCACACAGCCCCTGACGCTGCGGTTCCATCGCTCGCAGCGCCAGAACTGATTGTGTTATATCTGTAGCGGTGTGCTGCTGTCACACTGCTACCTACGGTGTAAACATCTCCCAGGAATCCCTTTGTGCAGCTTGTAATCGGGGCAGGGGACAGCATGAAATAGCTACTAGGCTTTAAATTTACTCCTGGGCTTGTGTTACAGTAGTTTATTCATGTAGACAAACCGCACGCCCCCATTCTGAATGCCACATCACTTTTTAAGCATTGAAGCTTGATACAGATGACAGATAAGAAACAAATCAGTGTTTATTCTTTGTGCAGTAAATTCCAACCACTTGTTGAATGAGGCTAGCCAAAAGCTGTAATGATTATAAACACAATATCCCCCGGTAGCTATTTTAATTAGTAGCTATTAATTACCAACACTTAATTGGAAATGGCTTTCTATCTGGGGAATTGCTAACATTTTAACAGAGCTACAGAACTGCCCTAATCACGTTGTGATATTGTTTCCTGGAAAATCCGAGCCACAATTTATCATTATTTTGGAAAATAGTTTCATGCTCTTGGCTTCAAGGTTCCTGCCTATCTGGAGTAGCTGTCCGTCCTCTTTGCAAAAAACAAAAAAAAAAAAGGGAGGGGGGGTGTGTTGTTGGTTTAAAAGAAGACGAATTTCGTTTCTGTCACTGCCCTTGTGAGATGTCACACTAACGATAAACCTGCTGTCCTTGTGCCGGCGCAGGAACTGCCGTGGCAGAGCTGCGGGAATGCCTGGAACACCGACCGCTGCTTCTCCAACTACTCCCTGAGCGACACCACCAACCTCACCAGTGCTGTCACCGAGTTCTGGGAGTACGTCCGCAGCCTGCCTACACCAGGTTTCTCCCCCTCGCCACGGCCATCACCCCTGCTCATCGGGGCTGTGGCCATGCCCACTGGCACTTTTCCTTGGACACCCTTGGCAGGCGGTTGTCAGAGCTGGCCATCAGCTGGGGTGGGCATGGGGTCAGATAGATAGAGAGGATAACAGCCTCTCTTCCCCTCTTCTCCTTCCTTTACCCCGTCACAATGAGCCTTAGGTCCCTTTAGGGTTTTGTGGGCTCTTGTGCTTGTCTGCACTTAGCCTTTCGCCCTTCAGCCACCTCTGAAATTTCTGATCCTTCTTCCCCCAAAAGTTAAACTTCCCCTTAAGACAACCTCTTCCACTGTAGGAGAAATATGCACCAGATGTCTGGAAGCCTGGGGGAGCCCGGCACCATCCGCTGGCCCCTGGCTGGCACACTGGCCCTGGCCTGGCTGCTGGTCTACTTCTCCATCTGGAAGGGCGTCGAGTGGACAGGCAAGGTATGGTGTGAGGACCATGTGTTTCCATGCTGCCTCTCATTGCCACACTTGGGTCTTGGCTGTTGAAATGTCCTCTGGACTCAATTTTATTCCAGTGCCTATAACTGAAGTTATGGTGCTTCAAGGAAGAATCATGGTAGATACTATTAAATTCCTGACATTTACCTTTCACGGTTGTAAAAATTGCTACTGTGTTTATTTTCATTCTAAGCATAGATAATAGCTCTTCCCAGTAAAGTCACAGGGCTGAGTGCTCAGTCCCTTTCAGAAGAGACTTGGGAAGAGATTTTTCAGAGATTACTTATGTTTCTCACCCCAGAACAGCCCTTTGAGAGAGTGAGACCTCTTCTGGGCTCCCCCTTTTGAAAATCATCACCTCTGAAAACACTGCTGGTGGAAAAAAACCTCACCACCTTCTTTGAAAATGTTCCTGCTGCCCTTTAGGTATTGGTGGGAGACCTTCAGATCAGAAGCACGTTGCTATTCACTGTCTAGCATTTAAGGCTAGCACAGTGGAAAGGTAATTGCTTAGTTTAGTGAAACAGCAATGCTGAGATACTGAGATGTGTTATTTAGAGCACAGCATGGTGTAGCAGGACAGTATTATGAAAGGAATGATCTAAAGGAGAGATCAGAAAGAAGCACTTCAGGCATAGGTCACCTAAGCTGTTAACTTCCCCGGTGGCTTTCAGACAAGTTTTAGTTACACAGCCACAGCAAAGCCCTGGTGATTGCCAGTACAGTCCCTGTGATGAGGGATGGCTTGTACCGGAGAGTCCCCGAAACAGTGCTGGAAAGAAGGTGGTGGAGTCAAGACGACTGATATTGCTTGATGTGTTGGACTAGAGAAACACCAGCTTTAGCTCTGCAAAATAAGGATGTGATGACTTAAAGGGATTAATTCTGTGGACTAAATTTATCACTATGCAATTCCCTTGTCTTTGGACAATTCATCCAGAGTTTAGCCTGCTACTTTTGTTATTAGTGCGTCCTTGCGTTTCAGTGGCGGTGAGAAACCTCAAACAGCCAGAAACATTGCTAGCACAGGAACGGGACACAGAAAATGCAAGGAAGTGCTGCTGAAAGCGTCTATGCATGAGGTGCCCACCCCCCTCGCAGGGGGACACACCAATGCAATGCCACCATGGGCAGGAAACATCCTGGGCACTGCTGGGCTGATGGCTTCTCTTCCGTGGTGTCTTTCGCAGGTGGTATATTTCTCGGCAACCTACCCCTACTTCATGCTCTTCATCCTCTTCTTCCGAGGCGTTACACTGCCAGGAGCAAAGGAGGGCATCCTCTTCTACCTCACACCTGACTTCAGAAAGCTCTCCGACTCCGAGGTTTGTAGCCTACAGAAAAAATCTTACCTCCTGGTTATCTCTGCATTAGTCTTCTCTGGGCACTTCCCTTGAATATTTTAAAGGGTATGTTAAATATATTATAAATGGAGTATTTCCCCATTCAAGGAGCCATGAACCTCACAGGCTAAGACAAAGCTGAGAGGGTAGGACCTTCGTGGGTGGAAGTCCACACAGCAGTTCTGCTGTACTTGAGCGGTGTTATCCATGAGGCGGGGGTTTGAGAAATTACCTCAGCAAGGAAACCTCCCGTCTGGGATGAGAATACCTCATTTTACTGACTATCCTGTCCCAGAAAAAGAACAATTCAGTGGCGCTAGTGTGGGGAGTTCAGAAGCAGCACAAGCACCACAGTGCACATGGCAGCAAGTTTTGAAGTGCTGAAATGATGACTGGTGGCCAGTAATGTTGCCTTGCTCAGAAGAATCACAGCGAGGTCCCGGAAGAAGCATGGAGGTTTATAAAGACAAAGTTTTTCAGGTGACACAGGCTCTGCCTTTTGCAGCAGCGATGCTCCCATGGCTCTAGAGGTCAGCAGGCACTTGAGAGCAGGGACAAGTTGGATGCTCATAACTTCCCGAGGGGTGCCAATGATCCCTCTTGCAGGAAACTCACTGTAACTGTACGGTCAGCTGCATTGGCTCTAACGCTGGAAACAAGGCTTTCAACATCAGCAGAGTTGTTTAAATACTGTGCAATTAAGAAATGAACAATCTGCCCCTTTTTCATGTGCCTTCTAACCTTTAAGCCCTTAATGCACCAGGACCAGCTTTGCAAACTGTCCTCTGCAGTTGTTTGCACAAGAAACTCTATGTTGAAAACACAAAGATACAAAGTGGAAGAGGAATGGAGCAGATGAGTGCAGGGGAAAGCAAGTACATACACACAAATTTGGATGGTGCTCGAGTCCTTTCAGACCTCCACTGAGGGCGGAGGGACATGGTTCAGAAAACAGGGTGCACACCCTTCCTCCAACCCCATCCATCCCTGGAAGTAGCCCTGAGCCACAGGTTTCGAAGGGCTGGGGGTGTATGTCTGGTGCTGAGTCTGGCTGCACTCTCAATGCACTTACCCCTTGGGAAGGATGCAGACCCCCTGCTCCTCCTCCTCCTTGGGGAGGCATTGCTGTCTAGCAGGCTCTCGCCTGACACGATAAGGAGGAGAGGCAGCCTGGTTGGCAGTGACACAGCTACAGGTTTCAAGGTGACTCCTGTAACATTTCCAGCTGCTGGCCCAAACATTTCCTTGGAGCTATGAGTCAGTAGCCAGTGTTGCAGGTACCCATGGCCCTGGTGACAGGGTGCCCTCAGGTCCTGGCCACCTGAGTGGGCTGGATGGCCAAGCCTGTAGCCCCGTGGTCTGCATCCAGCCCCTTCGCTAGCCCTGTGCTGAGCTGCTGCAGGAGATGTGCCTGCAGCATGGTGTTCCTACCTCAGCACTCCTCTCCTGGCTCCTTCTCTGCAGGTCTGGATGGACGCAGCCACGCAGATCTTCTTCTCTTATGGCCTAGGACTTGGGTCCCTGATTGCTCTGGGGAGCTACAACACTTTCCACAACAACGTCTACAGGTCTGTTGGGTTTTTTCCAGCCTTCTGAATGGTAGGGAGTGCTTAGGGGTGGGGGAAGGGGTCACAGTGAGTCTAGGATGCCAAATCTCCAATGTCTCCTCACTGGAAACATGCACAGGGGAACGCTGCAATTGTCATAGTGGGACTCCCCTGTCTGCACAACACTTCACATGTCATCCACGCTACTTCTCCGTGGCATGGGAACTGTTCTTGGCAAGACTCAAGTTTACCCCACTCTTCACTCCTGCTCTCTTTTCTTTTGGTTTCTTTTCCTTCTTTCTTTCTTTCTCTCTTCCAGGGATTCCATTATTGTCTGCTGTATAAACTCCACCACAAGCATATTTGCTGGATTTGTTATTTTCTCTATTGTTGGCTTCATGTCACACATCACAAAGAAGTCAATCTCAGAGTTGGCCTCCTCAGGTAAACGGAAACGCAACAGCAACCTTTGAGAGCAACATGTCAGTGAGTGTGGGATGCTCTCAGACCTTTCCTGACCAAGACCCAAGTGTGCTACCCTCTTTGCATACCCTCCCACCAAGACAGGTCTCACGTACCTGTGACTGATGTTCATCACACCTGCTTTTAATGGGGACATCTCCACCTGCTTTTAATGTTCACTTTCTTTTAGTGCTGAAGTTTCATGCACTTTAGCCATGGGCCATTTGTTTTCTGAAACCTTTCTGAGGAGAATAGATATTGCCCATGTTTTCAGTAGACATACGCAAAATTTGGAGTCCTTTTTCCATGAACAATTTTGAAATTGTAACCTCAGAATAACTTTAACCAAGATGGGACTGTGTCTTTTTGCACAAGAGACATATTTTGAAATTGCTGTCTTCCCAGAGAAAGCTTTTACCTCAAGCAACAGCATTTTGTCATGGAAGGAAAAAAGACATCAAGACAGTTATAACCAGCTCTCAGTATCAGTTTGTTTTTCTAGCAAATTGCCCCAACTCCATTTGGTAGCAGTAACCTTATGACTTTCCTGCTTGCTGGAAAAGACAGTCATTCTTGCCCTCCCCATTCTCCTCCTGGGTTGGTGTGTCATGGGCAAAGGCTCAGGTGTTTTATCTCCTCTGTTAAATACCTGCAATTCTTGACCGTGATCATTGTCTGTCTGTTTAGCTGTGGCCCTCAGCACAGACTTACCATCAAATGCTTTATAAACACAGGCTCATCCCTCTTTTCGTTAATGCAGGCCCCGGACTGGCTTTCCTTGCCTACCCACAGGTTGTCACACAGCTGCCCCTGTCCCCACTCTGGTCCATCCTCTTCTTCTCCATGCTGATGATGTTGGGTCTGGATAGCCAGGTGAGATGACCCAGGGACAAAGTAGGGTAAGATATAAAGATATCTTCAGATATGATGCTGGTGTCCCCTTCTGCACCTTGGGACAATGCTGAGCAGGGTCTTTTCTTCATGGTGAGATGCAGCTGCATGAAACAAAGCCTCCTGTGTGATCATTGGCTCTGCACTCTTCCCTAATGTAGGCATATACTGCAAATGTGGAGGTACCTGATCACTACCGGTCCTTGTTTTGCTGCCAGTTAAAAATAAGAGCAATGACCAGCTTCCAGAAGGCCAGCAGAACCAGTCAGCCTTATAAGGCAATTACCACTTCCCTGTAGGAGGAGAGGACCTTTGGAAAGCTTTTATCTGTTCAGATCAATTTTTGGCCCTATGGAAGTGCCATTGCTGCTGAATGGGCACAGCATGTCCCCATCCTACCAGGTGATCCCAGCAGCTAAGCTCACAGGCTCTAAGAAGAGCTGGTGGAAAGCTATCCCTGATGAAATACTTTGGGGCAAGGGAAAAAGGAAAAATATTTCTTTCAAGTAATAACTGCTTTGTCTTGTTAAGACGTGATTCCCCACAGCCCCAAAATAGGGAAGTAACGTAAGGGAAAACAGTATTACCTGCTTCATTTTGGGCCTGCGTGATGATAGTTTGTGGAAACCACAGCTCTCTTGGTATTTTGTGAGAAGCAAAGTTTGGATGCTTTGGATTTTCTTACTGTGTCACTTTGACCAAACTGCATTTTCTATGAGGCAAGAAAATGTCATTACTTTGGCTTACTTTCATAGGTTAGAGTAGAAAGTCTCCATCTTCTCTACTCCCAGGAACTGTCAGGAGCATCTCTGCACCAGGTACCGGTCTCCAGCCAGCCCCAGCGCTCTGGAGCTTTATCTACAGGCTGCACTTTGCTGTCTGATAAGTCTTACAAGACATTTGAGGGGGAAGCAGTTGAATATAGCAAAAGGTCTCTACCCTGACCCCCCTCAAAGCCCTCACAAAACAGGAAAAAATAATATTTTGTGTATTTTCACAAGCGATGTTACTTTTTTTTTCTAATGATTCCGGACAGATGTAGCTAGCTGTGAAGCAGTCAGTTGCAGCATGACTCCCTTTGGGGTGCTTCAGAATTAAAGGCTCCTTCAAAAGCCTTTGCCTGGTCTGTCACATCCTCCCCCTGTGCCCATGTGCTCTTTCCTTGAAGTGCAAACTACCAGTACAAAATGGATGCTCTCTTGGATTACAGATAGTGTTCATAAATCAAGCATAGTTCATGATCAGACTCAGAGATATTCCTGAAATGTCACACCTGGTTTCCAGGAAAGTCTAATCAATCATAACTGGTTTTCCATTATGGCATATGCCCATAAACACATCATAAAGCTCACATCTGCTTTACCACAGACATTATTTGGCAAATAATTTCAAATAACGACTAAATGTTCCAAAAGAAGCTACATTTACAGAAAAAGAAATTACTCTCCACGAATTATTCACCGAGCACTGGTGAATAGTTTGAGACATGACAATAAGCCCTCTAAGCACTGTGTGGAATTTATTTGCTGCATTTGTTTCTGAAATACCACTTGAAATTCTACAAGTCCTTTCTGACAGCTAGACTCAGAGGGCAGGCAGTCCATGGGGGGCTATCATTGCCTGGAGGAGGGGGAATGAAGCATCAAAAGAAAAACAAGCTTGTAAAAAAGCAAGATAAATACATGTGAAGAAGCTCTCCGTCTGCAAGCTGGAGTTCTGATTCAATCAAACACACCATTAACAGCATGGCAGCTTATGCATATAAAGCAAACAACACACGCTGCAATTGCAAATGCATTTTTAAATATCCAGTTAAAAAAAAAAAAAAAAGAGATGGTTTCATGAGGCCCAACAGGGCCATAGGGCATTTCTTGCACCCTGCACCCCCCGGGGCTGCTGGAGTGAAGGTGCCCCTTGTCACTGTGCACAGGGTTGTAGGCACAGCAGAGATGCTCGGGAGCTCAGCTAGAGAAGAAAGGCAGGGGTAACATCTGTGTTTGCAATGCAGCGACAAGCCCCAACCCCTTGAACGGCAGTGAGAGTAGGTCCACCCATGTCCATTAGCTTCGGTAGCGAATTCTTCTGCAGATGCACAGCTACATCTGCCTCTTTCTGCCAGGGCACTCATCTCATCTGCAGTTACTTGAATGGGGTGAATGACCTATATTGATAGACACGCGCCTCCCTCCTGTGCCCCCACTTGCCGCTCATGTGCCTTAATGTTCACTCTGCCTCTGATCCATCAGGGCTTTAAGCTCTCTTGCGTCTAGACCCTCTTGCATAATATGCTAATGCTTTCTTTTAACCTACCAGTTTCCAGGTCAGGCATTTTGTCCCCAGGAGAGCTAGCAAGCCTTGTGACTGCAAGCCTGCGTCTGTCCCATGTGAGGCCGCCTCTCGCAGGTTATTCATGAGGATCTCCAGCTGCTGACAGTGAGACCCACTCTCATGGCTCTCTGCTGCACATCCGGCAGCTGTGGTCAAACCCACCATGGACCCACGGGTCCCTCTCAGGGTGCTCTGCATGGCCGAGGAGGGGATAGCAAGACCCTGACACAGGGAGAGGGTGGGAGACTTCCCTTCAGACCGAGGTGCCACCTATATTGACTCCCAAACACAGACCCTCAGACCCAGAAGCTTGTGTAATGATTAAGTCCCTGAAGGGGAAAAAGAACAAAAGAGAGAAGTGAATGGAAATAAAAGATTTAGGAAAGAAACACCATCATGGGTAGGGACATGAAGAGGAAAAGAATATGTGCTAAAACTGTGGCTGGAGAGAGCTGGTGAGAAAAATTAAACGTTTTGGAAAGCAGGCTGAAGGGTGTATGTGTATCTACCCACACCCACAAATGCACACACAGGGGAAAGGGCAGAACAGGAGCAGTCGTAAGGACCAGATCCTCATCACTTCTGAAAGTACCGTGCGTTCACTCAAGTCCCTGCCTGTCTCATGTGAGCACCTGAGACTGGGTACACAGGCTGGGAAATGGGGACCCCTGGCCAGCCTGGGCTGGGAAGATGCGCCTCCTCCAGGCTGCACCACCCCTGAGGCCTGAAGCTGGCATAAGGCAATTTTCAGTAAATGGCATGAAGGCCATTCCCTGTTTTATGGCCAGAAAACACCGTGTACTGACATTTGGTTACCCACCTCATCCACTATGCAGAAGCTTACTTCTGATACAAAATGAAGAGATTTCAATTCATTTTGTAGCCCTGTTTCTTTTCACCCATCTCCCTGTCTTTCCCTCTCTGCTTTCCCTGACTTTGATTCCTCTTCCTGCACCAAGGGACTGTTGATTTTACTCACTCACGTTATTTGAGGTATCTTTATCTTTGCTCCTTTGCCCCTGGACACTCCCCACATCCATGCTCTGTCCCTGAGCACCCCTGATCACCCTCCAAACCCTTTTCCCTTTCTGCCTTGCCTGGTGCCAGTCCACACGGCTCTGCCTATGGTTCCAGCAGCGCTAGGCTAAGCATCCACGTGGAAGGAATAGCTTTCGACAATGCTTTTTTTTTGTCACGCTGGCTCTTCACACTGTTGTGCCATCTCAGTCCTGACTCGTCCAGACAACGAGCTGGGTGGGATGGGGTGAAGAGCTCGCTGTCAGTGAGTATAAAGGCAGCTTAATCCATGCCCAAACAGAAAAAGATGCTGTAATAGCGCTTGTGTCCAATATAAAAGGCTAAGCTCATTAAAAATTCAAGCTGAAACAGTTGAGCTTTGATGCTCTGGGAATACTGGCTTTCCATGCTGCTCTGTGCAGATGTAAAACCTGGGGCAGAAACCTTACCCTTTGCCTCGCTCTGTCCCACGTGGATGCCGGCTCCAGCAGCCAGCAGTGTGCAAGCTCTTCCACCTTCCCTGTACCGCTATAGGCATGGCTCAGACTCCCTGCTTTTCTCCCATATACCTTTCCAGCCCTGTGCTGCTCTTTTTAGTCTGTGTACCTCTACTTCCACTCTTTCTTTTTTATTTATTTCTTGTCTCTCTATTCAAAGCTGAATCTAAAAATCCCAGCACTTTCTAGAGTGCTCTCCCAGGGGCAGGGAGGTCCCTGACATCCAAAAGCAATGAAAGCTCTTTCATCTTCATTGCACTGGCTTGTACATTTACTGAGGGTGACCAGGGAAGCTAGGAGCTTGCTGCTTTCATAAACTTCCCAGGATTTTTGCTAGAGGCATGATGTGCTCTCTGAGAGCTGTATGTTACCAGTGGTTTCTGGGAGTGAGATATAAAAGTGTATCTCACAATTAATCAAGAAATAGGAAGGAAGGAAGGAAGGAAGGATGCACTTCACTTACATACAGTCAAACTGTCTTCATGCCATAGGGCAGAACTAGTAGGGAAATGAATTTGAAGGTAGCACTCATGGGGACTTTGTTATGTGTTATGGTACAGACAGCATTAATATACTGTGCCTGGCATAGCACTGCGCAACCCATCCAGATGTTCTCAGCTCTAAAAAGACCATGTGCTGTGAGGACGAGCTTTTAATGTGTTACATGCATTTAACTTAGTGTGCTTGGAAAAGTGAAATCAAGTGAAGGGCTGGGTAGTCAGGGATACTGTTATTATGCACATGCATGTGAGACTGGGCAGTGGGTAACGCAGTTCCTTAATGAGTGTTTTAGATCATTTAACAGCACAAGCGATGTTGCAATAGACTGAGAAGAGCACACATGGGAAAGGAAGAGCAAGCAAGGTCCTGCACGTGTCCTAGCAGCAGACAGATGCATTGCTGTGACAGAGAGCCTGGCAGCATGGGGAAGCAGGGCAGTGGCAGGGAAGCCCTAGAGAGTTCAGGTGAAGAAAGAGGAGGCAGAAAGCAGAGATTTATCTCAGCTAATTTTAGATATCTCATCCTCATGCTTTTAGCTTCCTCTGTATTCAGTGGATGAAGAGAGGTGTTTTCAGAAGATGGTTTGTACCAGCTTTGTGCAGAGATGCCTCTTTTTTGTTTGGTGTTAAATGTGGAAGGTGATGAAGTCAGGCTAAGGTACTTATATCTATGTCTTTGGTGTATACCTTTTCCTGTAGTTCTGCACCGTCGAGGGGTTCATTACAGCCCTGATGGATGAGTATCCTTATCTGCTGAGAGCAAGAAAGAAGGTCTTCATTGCTGTAGTCTGTTTCATCTCTTATCTCATTGGATTCTCCAACATCACCCAGGTACAGACAGTCATGCTTGTGCCTCAATTCATGGCACCTTTCTAGTCACTTTGGCATAGCACAGCAGTGCCAAAAGCATGGGAGAAATTAAAGCATCCCTAGAAGATATCCTGGATAAACGGGCTTGCTCATCATTGCCACATCTCAAGTGACAGTCTGGCTTGAGTTTTTGCTATTTGCAATAAGGGCTCAAGTCAACAAAGCCCAAGCTGAGGGAACACTTAGTACAAAGGGTTAAGATAACATAAAGAAGACCAGCCTGAGACCCTGAACCTCTGGGGCAGAAGCCAAGGTTCACATGTGTGAAGGTTAGGGCTGAGTGGTCTGGAGACCATTTGTGAAGCACTGTAGGTTCATGAGGAGGCAAGGCAGCAAAACTCCTGGGAGGGGCAGAGCAGACTAAATTAAGTGACTCAGTCTAAACCGGAGAAAAGTAAGAAATCCTAGTGAATCTCTGCTTTTCTTCTCACCCCTGGCCATGCCTGAACAGTCTGGCTAATTGTCTACAAGAGCACATCAGTTTTGCTGCTGGGAATCAGATTGCAGTGGAAACACTCCAATGCCGGCTCTACTGTCCAAGGAAATTAAATTTAAAGCCAGCAGACGCAGATAGTAGCGATCCAAGCAGCCAGCTGATATTGTCGACCCTAATCTATAACTAAACTCCTTGACCCTGGTTTTGTCTCCTCAGGGTGGCATTTATGTCTTCAAGCTGTTTGATTATTACTCAGCCAGTGGCATGTGTCTTCTTTTTCTTGTCTTCTTTGAGACCATCTCAATTTCTTGGTGTTACGGTAAGCACAAAAGACCTCATTCTTTTGTTTACTCTCTGGGCACAGTGAGTTACTTCAGAAGCCTCCCACAGTGAAGCCAATGAAAACTTTGCAACTGAAAATAGCTTAGGCTGATAACTCCTGAAAAATCAGGAGCAGAAGGCTGTCATCTCATTTCTCCAGGCTACCACAAAGTTCTCTGCATAAACTGGCAGATGCCTAGGGCCCTACCCTCTGGTCTTCAAGAGGACACCAGGAACATGGAAGCTGCTAGCATGAATTTGGTTTTGTGTCCCCATTCCCCATCCCCTCCAGATAATGTTTCTCATGCTGCAGCACTGTCACCCTGTTGCTGTGGCTGACCTGCGCTGTGTCATGAGAAGAGGTGATGACCATGGTGCCGAGTTGGGATGGTTTTTTACAACGCTTGTTTCTTCCTGTAGGTGTGAACAGGTTTTACAGCAACATCGAAGAAATGATTGGCTACAAACCTTGCATCTGGTGGAAGATCTGCTGGGCCTTCTTTACTCCTCTTGTCTGCCTGGTAAGACCTAGGGCATCCTATCTGCAGGCCTGGATCCAGAAGGGTCTCTTAATTTGGAGGGACTGTAGGTGAACCATCATGTTCTTGACCCAGTATAGGTCTGGTGTAAGGTGGTCCTAGGCAGACCTGAGATGGGTAAAGTAATACAAGAGCATCTTCCAATTTGCCCTTTGGAAATGACCCATAAGAAAATCTCTAGGTGATAGTTTTAATCTAAATTAGGCCATCAGGTTTTCATTCTTTTTTTCTCAGATGCCAAAAGATAAGCAAATAATTTACTATTTAAAAAAGCTGTTATTGGTCCTGGGACAGACTTTCAGCTACTTCAGCTCCAGTCTCAGCCCCTGATAGGCTTGTCAAATGCAGTGTGACTGACCATGAGGAATTTCATCTTTGCTGGCTCCTGCACTTCCAGCAGGATTAGTACAGGGAATGGTGTGGGAAGGCCAATGACGGGAAGATGAAGGATCCTGAGGCCAGCTGTGAGGATGCTGCTAACTTGCTTAGGAGCAAGTGTCGGGGCACTGCTCATCAGAGTAGTCTAGTGAAGAAGGAAATCAGGGGTAATCCGGTTCCAGTTTTTTATATAGGATAACAAGAAGAAATATGAATTTGCCATTTGGTGGGCTGAGAGCATCTAGACTGTTTTAAGGAGCTGTTGACTTGCTGCAGAACTCAGGGCATCTAAGAGGATAGTGAGGGGAAGAGTGGATGGACGGACCCCGAATTCACACACCTTCACTTGCAATGTCTGGTTCTCTTTTCCCAGGGTGTGTTCTTCTTCAGTGTGGTGGAAATGACACCTCTGACACTGGGGAAATATGTCTATCCCGCATGGGGACAAGGCATAGGTTGGCTTATGGCTCTGTCCTCCATGGTACTCATTCCAGGATACATGCTGTATTGTTTCTTCACCTCAACGGGGACTCTCCGGCAGGTATGAGCAGCTTCACTACTCCTATTTTGCTCTCTGCTTAGAGTAAGCCCTCCACTGAACTAAGCCTGGGAAGAACCAGGAGGGCTCAAATCAGCCCAAGCACAAAGAACAACCTCTGTGACACAGGCTCGCTGGAGAGGAGTTACTATCAGAACTGGTACTAACACGTCTAAATGTCTGAGAGTGCCGCTGGGCAGCACGTGGCTGGCTGCGTCTGGACTAGTGGGTAGACCTTCAGGTAGTCTCTCCTTACACCAGTCCATCATCCTTCATTGAGCTTTGTGTTGTCACCATCACAAAAAAAGGAGTCCTTTTTTCCCAAATATCTCTTCAGTGCAGGGGACTGGAAGTGATTAGGAAGGACTCTCTGAGGTTTCTTAACCCAGAGAAATCCCAATTCCCACCAGTCCCTGCCTATAAGCAGGTTACCTGGCATGTCTCAGCAGAGAGATTGGCATCCTGCAAGCATGAATCTTGAAGTATCTCATGGTTAGGACCTGCTAGTGACAAACACGCACAGCAGTAGTTTGTAGTGTACTTTGTAAAGGGCTCTTAGTCAATGAAGGGGTTAAGAAGCAATGCAGACTTTTGTGCAGGACCCACAACACTGATCTTGTTTAAAACATTTTTTAAAATAGTTTGAGCTGAGTTTTATGTAGCAGTGAATCACAAGTCTCTGTATGTCATAACTAGTAATTATTGTTAAGATTTTATTTACAGTGTTGATACTCAGTCTTGAGAGCACTGTGCACCAAGTCCCAGGCTCGATGCTGTCTGCTGCAAGCTACAGGTGTAAGAAGTCAGCACAGGGATGCTGATTTATGGCTTTCCCAGCCCAACAGCAACAACCACCAGATGCTATTTAAATCCCATGAGATTACTTCATGGATCCTGTATTTTGAATAATGTTTAATTCACAGATGTTTTGGCTGGAATTGCTAGACTGAGATCATCTTCAGGCTCTCTGCTTCTGAGGTCAAACTGCAGGGGAATTTGACTTTCCTTCCTCCCAGCTCTCCATTTGGATAGGCTCTGGTGGGGGAACTGGGCAGGTTTGGTGTCTCAGATGTGCTTTCAATTTCTGGTCTCTCATCTGAGGTCACATTTAGGTTATTGCCATTTTGTGTTGAAGGCCAGCAGCAATACCAGTAATAGGTCCCTTCTCAGAGGTTTTGAGGGCTCCTTATTCCCTCACAATGCCAGTTGATGAGATACTCAAGATGAGTCAGCAATGTGTGCTGGCAGCACAAAAAGACAACCATGTCCTGGGCTACATCAAAACAAGCAGGTCGAGGGAGGTGGTTCTGTCCCTCTGCTCTGCTCTCGTGAGACCCCACCTGCAGTACTGTGTCCAGCTCCGGAGCCCCCAACACAAGAAGGAGATAGGCCTGTTGGAGCAGGTCCAGAGGAGGTCCACTAAGATGATCAGAGGGCTAGAGCACCTCTCCTATGAGGACAGGCTGAGAGAGTTGAGATTGCCCTGGAGAGACCTTATAATGGCCTTTCCCTCCCTGCCGGGGGCTGCAGGAAAGCTGGAGAGGGACCGCTTACAGGCAAAACTAGTGATGGGACAAGGGACAATGGTTTTAAACTAGAGCAGAGTAGACATAGACTAGACATTAGGAAGGAGTTCTTTACTATGAGGGTGGTGAGACACTGGAACAGGTTGCCTGGAGCAGCTGTGGATGCCTCATCCCTGGGAGGCTGGAGGGACTCTGAGCAACCCCGTCTAGTGGGATATGTCCCTGCCCGTGGCAGAGGGATTGGAACTAGATGATCTTTCAGGTCCCTTCCAACCCAGGTCATTCTATCATTCTATGATTCATAATATGAGCTGGAAAAGAGAGAAGAGGGAAGCCTGCAAACACAGATATGGGTTCAACCCTTTGCTTAGGCTCAATCCTGTTTCCCCTAAGGTTGGTGAAAGCATGTCCTGGCATTCAGGAGCAGCTTGTGAATGTGTTTCCATCCATCCCCTCAGCAGCTCATGCAAACACCAGCAGTGCCAGTCAGCAGCATGAGTGGCTGATGCGCACCTTCTCTGTCCTGTCCTGCCAGTAACAGCACTCACACACATCAGGGGACCCAGACTTCCTCCCCACTGTTCAGAGACCTAGAAGCAAGCAGCAGATGGCAGCAGGAAGAAAGGAGGCTTGTGTATGTGTGTCTGCTCATATCAGAAAGTCAGAGAGAATTTTTGGCCTCTTATATGCACAGATCCTGGATTAGTTTGTAATAGAGCTGGAGCTGGAGGGAAATTAGATGCCAATGCTGAATAAATTGGTTTTGACAGACAGGAAAGATTACAAGTCATTTTGATCCTACTGAGCATGAATGCAAGGGGAAAAAAAAAAGACCATGAATGGCAGAAGCAGCTCAGTGAACGTTTCAGGGACTTCGCCCAACAACAGCCACTTCAATGGTATTGAAGAGTAGGAGCTTGTTTCCTTTTGCTGGAAAGGGCTTCTTCCTGACTTAGGGAGGTCTGTTCAGGTCAGGCTCAATCCTCCTCCGCCTTCCTTTCTGCAGCTTGCAGCATTGGTCCCTGGCAGGCAAAAGTGATTCATTCTTCTGCACCACTCCTGATGCTCAGTCCACCTCCAGTAATGACTTGCCGCTCCATGTTTTCCTGGGTTCTTCCTTCGCTTTACTTGGCTCTGCGGTTTCCATTTGGTCAGCTCAGGGTGACGGGAACTGCTGCTGGTGCAAAGGTTGGTGCAGGTGGACTGGTCTGATCATAGAATCATAGAATGGCATAGGCTGGAAGGGACCTTAGAGATCATCTACTGATCTGCATCTGTGGCACAGACTGTAACGTTGTAGCCTTCTGCAGAGAGTTAGTAATGGTTTGTAATCAATCCTGGCTGAAAATTTACAGAAACTGGGAAAATGGGTCTGCTCTGAAGCCTGTGACATTGCAACTCTCTCTTGTTCCTGCTTGCAGCTGGTATTGCCTGGTAACAGTCTGTTTGTGTTACAAGGATTATTTCAAATAAAAGGAGGAGCTGTTGTGCTGTGTGCAGCGCCAAAGCAAAGGTGACTTGCAAAGGCTTTGATGGTGTTGGAGGGGTAACTCCTGCCACATGCACCATCCCCTCACCCTGTAACTAGGGCCACCTCTGAGGCTCGGGGCGAGGGGTCCCAACCCCCAGGTACTGCTGTGACCTGACTGTCCCACCACTGCCAGCCCTGGCCCTCAGGCTGACACGCTTTCTCCCTTCATTTCCTGGCAGCGTTTGCAGCAGATGACACAGCCCAAGCCAGAGGTGCACGCCCAGAACAACGGCCTCCAGCCAAAGATGTCCTTGAATGGGAGGGTCTCAGATGCCGCCGTGTAGAAGGAGAGCCTGGACCTCCTCACCCTGCCCTGTAGCTGCTCGCACCATCTTGTCCCTTGAGCTCCTCCAACACAGTTCGCTGCCCTCAGCTCCGTGGTGGCTTTCGCTTGTCAAAGAGAGGACCTGGTAAATTAATCCTGTGGCATCTCTTCCTCCTGGCCCAGCTTACCAAGGCCCTGCACGAGGGACATTGTGCGGTGACTGTCTTCATCCTGCAACATCCTGGTGCAGGCTCTCAAGAAGGAGCAGATAGTGCCCAGTCTTCCTCCTCCTGGTGAGAGGGGATGTTTCTAGAAAGCTTAGACTGATACCTGAGCACTCATCTGTTCCTGCCCTGTCATGTGAATATCTGCAGAGTATCCCATAGCTATCACTCCAGAGAGCCAGCTGACACAAGGTTCAAACCCCAGATGGTTTTTAACTCATCTAGCATAAACCAACATCAGCAAATGCATAACTGGAGGAGGTGTGGCAGAATGAAGGATTCAAGTGAGGAGTCCAGCTGTAGGACATCACCCTGAAACTGGAGAAGGGCATCAGGATGGCGTGTGCTGCTCACAGGTGCCGTGTTTCAGCCCTGTGCAATCTCGGAATTTTTCACTGCATCCATTGAGGCTGGCACTGTGAGCCAGAGGCAAGCAAAGTAGGCAGCCTTCTTCTGGAGTGTCCTGCCCTTTGCAGCTGTGTGCAGAAGCCACTCCCTGACCCTAAAATGCAGTGGAGGGTTTTTTGCTAGAAGCTGTCCCGGTCTCCTACACTGACCACTCACTGCTGCAATCAGCTTAGTGCGGAGGCAGGAGGTCTGCTGTGTGTTGGGGAGACCTTCCAGCACGGTGCAAATCTCCTCCCCGCTGAAACAGGGTAGTTCCTGCCAAACACCCACCCTGGCTGCATCTCCAGGTGGGAAACAGTAAGATGAAGCATAGTGCCCATGGGTGGTTTAGCTTGTACCTTTTTTGGGAAGTGGCGACACCTAAATCCCAGCCAGTGGAAAACAGGATCTCCTGAGGGAGCTGGTAGGATGTACCCACCACGCTTAAACCCACTCCTGTGAACCAGTGCTGACTTCCCTTGGAAGTGTCTGTACAGCCAGCTGCTGGTGCTGGCACAACCCAACTCCCAGCACACACATCGCAGGAGGCCATAAGCTGTTGTAGATGGTGATGGAGGAGTCTATAACACCTTGGAGAAGGCTGGGAAATGTTTCAGAGCAGTCCTAAAGCAGCAGCATATTTCTTGGTTATAAAGTCTTGAGAAAGGAGGTGGCTCATCGTAGCACCATGTGCAGGTGTGACAGCGAGGCTCCCATTCGTGACAGCCTCCCAATGACCCCACATGGAGGTACTCATGCACTCAGAGTGTTTGATGAGCACCCGTCTTACATGTGCTCTCACGGAATAGCTCAGTGCAAATCAGTGTCTCCCTTCCCTTGGCACACTGACAGCATTGCCAGGTCTGCTTGCACCCCCAGATTCAGCTCAGTATCCACAAAGTCATAAATGAGCATCCAGGAAAAAGTACCAAGAAAAAGTACTTTGCACTTTCACTTTCAACCAGAGGGTCTTGTCTTGTAGATGGCATCCTGAAGTCCCCTAAGGGTCCCACTGCAGGCACCCAGGTGAGTGATGAGCCTTTGCACAGTTGCCCTGCACTCCAACAGCAGCTGCAAAATTATGCAGGTCAGCCCCGTGCTGCCCAGCCCTGGGACCAGCCAGTGCATGGGGCCAACCTTCTGCTGGTCCCCTCAAACTGAGGATTGGTGGCGCAAAGAGGAAAGAAATTGTCTGGTTAAAGCTGAAGAAGTCAGTCACCTTTGGGGTTGGGTGCCCTGATAGCTCATCAATGCATCTCAATTAACGTTGCTTTAGATGTGGAACCAGTTTGTGCTTGTACACATGGTAAGTGCTCTGTCCTGGCTCTTAGCGGTCGCAGCTGCCAGGCCTTGAGTGTATGTTTTGCAGTCTCCAACACCCCAAGCTGAGATCACGCCCTGTCCTGCATCTAATCGTTAAGAGTGTTTACGTCAAAAAAATCTCAGCTGTTAAACAGACATGAGGAAACACTGAATTTACAGACTTGATCTTGTAAAGCCGAAAGCCAAACACTGAAAGCTGCAATCATAGTTCATCACAATTAATCTCAGCCAGTCACAGACATGTCATCTTTCCTTGTCCTGCAATTACAAGCGCTTGTATAGCTGAAGTTTTATATTCCACTTTCACTTATTTCTATTATTTCTATAAATGAGGAGTAAAGAAAAACACTCCTTATATACGTGTATGTCCTTTGAGAGGGACATCTGTGTTGAAAACGTGTTAACCGCTGACCTTTGTGGTAGTGACCTTTACTAGAAACCTGCTTTTTCCTGTGTATCCAGATCACATAACCTCTCTCCCCTTAAATACTGACTGAGAGTTGTGGGTGATGGGCAAAAGAGTCAATTCTTGAGAGAGGCCCTTAAGAAAATACGGAAGACATCAATTTTTCCAGCTTTATTGGGACAGCTCAGGTCTGAGGTAGAACAAATCAATGTCAGTGGTAATTTTTGAAACTCTTGGCCAAAGAGTTTGGTTGCTTGGAGAGCTGTTCAAAGGGTTGTACCATCCAGGTTGTTCTTTCAGGGGAGTGGAGAAGGAAGGGTCCAAAAACCAAAGTCTTATCCACAGTGACTGAGGAAATCCCTACATCTCAAATTCCTTTTTGCTAGGGTTTTAGTCCCAGCATCTCTCTGACTTCTGGCCTTGTGTGTGGCAGGTGCAGAATATCAGTCCAGGTATAGCAGCTCATAATAATAATATTTGATGAGGCTTAACAATTTGCACAGTTTCCTGCCTGTGACTTTCACCTTTGCTCTCCCTCCTGCCCTGCTCCTTTTTTTCTTGCCTCTCTTCTTCCCTACTATCATCTCTTCCATAGAAATCACATGCCTCAACTTGCTGCTTCCTGCTTTTTTTGCTTCCACTACTGTCAAATTACAGCTCTCCCTCACTTCTCTTTTCCATTCTTCCCTCATTTCTATCTCTATTATTACCAGCCTCACTTCCCTGCTTCTCTCATGCATGCTCCTTCCAGCCTTATTATTCCTGCGTGCCTGTGGCTCAGCCCCTCACTGTGCACTCGCTCAACTCTTCTGCCTGATGAAAACTGGAGCTCAGAACCCCACAAAGGAACCCAGCATTTTGTCCAGATCCAGTCCCTAAGGACCAATTTCCACCCCAATATTGAAATTATAATGAAGTTCTGGCTATCTTCTCTTCCTTTTTGTACCAGAAAGCACTGTGCTGAGAAATTCTATCTCTTATTATTACTAGAAAAGGCGTTTCAACCCATATTCTACCAGATTCTGCAGAGCTGTGACTGTTCTGATTTTGTGGCCTTTCCTGGTTTTGCACTATTTTACTTCCACCATGAATGTTTGGACCTGCAAAGTCTGGCATTAACAGACTTGCAGGGAGGAATTTGCCCTCTGTCAAGCTCTATCTGACTGACTGATCCCCTTCTCTGGCATTTCAAACTCATCCCATCCTTAGTGCTAGAAGAGCCTTCCCACCACAGTACACAGGTTTTCTGTCTAGTCAGGTCAGGATGGGGACGTCCTGTTGAACTCACCCTGTGCTTCAGAAATGCTACTATGGGCAGGTCCAGCAAAGCAGCCATATCTGTGTGTTGGCCTTTTGACGTCAGGCTTTGGGTACCGACTGAAAAGCACGTGCTGGTCGGTGCCAGTGATGCCTCTGTGAGAACCGCTTTTGTGCTGTTCCCATGGTGCATCACTTCTGCTGACGACCGCTCTGCTCCTCGTTCCTTTTGACCCAGCCAGAAGAGAGGATACGTGCATGGCTGGGGGTGGGATGCTCCCTGCTTCTCTATGCTGTGGTTCAGAAGGGGATCCCACTGCCCCATGCTCACCTACATTGCTCCCACCTTTTCTCTGCCCCCTTGCCCCTGCAGCACCTGCCGGCCTCTCCCTTCCACCATGGGCAGCCACTCAAAATAATCCCCTGTGAAACTTCTTAATTCTAAGGAGCTATTTAGGGAGCTGTGCTCAAATCCCTCCAAAATCCTCTTTTTCTTGAGCACTGGGAAAAATAAAATAAATGTCATTGCCCGCATCCCCTGCCACAGCAGCAGGGGCAGAGAGGGGTGATGGGAAAGGCAAGATTGCTTCATTGCTGCTCAAGTGCTGCTTCCCCTGGAGATGCGGGTGCGATCCTCTCTCTCGGGAGAGGGGAGCTCTCCCTGCTACCATTCTCCCAGATGTGCTCCAACAGCTGGCAGCTGGTTGTAAAACATGTGTGCAACGTCCTTAACACGATACCAATGCCGTGTGGCACTGTAAGGCTTCAGCCAGCCGAGCACCATGCAGCTTGTAGTCTCTCCATAACTACTAAACGATGTGTTGGGAGCAGTTGGGCTGTATGTATGGGGATGCCCTTCAAGCTGGTATCATTCTGGATGCACGACTGGTCCTTATCCCTCTCCTGTCCCAGGAGGATTCTCTATGGATTGGGGGGACTTGGTGGCAGTTGGTGGTGATGCCCAAGTGGGGAGGGGTTCTGCACCAATAAAAGGCATGTCCATTGTGGTTTTGCTTGCATTGAGGGCTACTAGCCCACCCATGGTGAAGGAGCTTGCACCAAGCACACTGCCTGATTTCCTCAGGAGCTGAGCATGTGAAATGGTGCTCAGCACCGGATGCCAGTGCTGGCACTGGAGGCCACACGGTGTGCCCACACAGGATGGTTTTCCTCTCCTGATGTCTAATCCTGTCTCTGCATGACTCTAGCTATTATTGTCATAATAACATCTAATAGTAACTCTTGTAATAACTAACTCAGTCTCCACCTGAGGAGCTGAGGGTAAGAAGAAAAAGCCTTGGAACTCTGAAACCTACTAATGACACCTGGGAGCTAGCTCTTAAGAAAGAGTGCAAAGACCATTCTGATCATTACACCTTTTCAAAGTTCTTGGAAAGGGGAGAGAAGGGATGTCAAGGGAAG